CGCGTAGACCGTTGGAGCGGCCGCGGTAGCGAAGGCTACGCGCTGGCGGCCGCGCTTGTACGCGAACAAGTGACTCGACGTGCATCGAAGGACATTGGGCGCGGCTGCCTAGCGCGTAGCCTTCGCTACCGCGGCCGCTCCAACGGTCTACGCGCGCTCTGATTGGTCGGGGTTTTCGCTTAATATCTCCTTAACGAAGCCCCATCCGACATTTTTGCAAAGGAAATTGTTGTTCAGAATCGTCTCAGCTACCCCCCATTTCCGGCTGCTCCCCGACTTTTGGGACACCCTGTATATTATATACAGTATATATTTAATACAAATTAAAATGAAAGTACACATGACTACGCTTAAACATGAAAGAGATGTTTAAGTAGCCATTACGACAACGCTGTAGGCATCGATATGAATATTATAATTTTTCATATAATTCATAACATTCATAACATTTTAACTCGAATACCATCTATTAATCTTTAGTGATCCGAATACTCCTCCTAGGCATAGGCATAATTTGACGTTACAGTCCAAGCACTCCCTACATTTAACCGCTGAAAATGATTTTATGCGATCACTGAGGATTCGTTGCTTTTTATACTATAATCCGAGTAACAAAATATCTGCAATCGAAATGATTTGGTTTCCGTAATTCTCGCGTCGAGTACATGTTCTAGTTATCGAATTATGCGTAGAGTTCGATGGAGTTTATCAGTTCGTGATAACGTTTTGCAACAAATTTTACAAAACATACACAGAATTGTTGGGTTACAAAGTAAAGTAGATGTGTAGATGTAGATTTAATAATTAAAAAGTTAATTGAGGGAAAATTATTCGACTGGAAACTAACTTCAAGTGACAATTTCAAAACGCGTCTATCATGTACGGCAGAAATAGTTTTAACAAATGCGCAATATCACAGCCGACATCGTTGAAAATCCTGAAACTTCTTTTAAAAAATCCTGTACAGTACCGTATATCATTTTCCGAGGAACGTTCTTCCTTTCTCTTCCGCTGATCGCGTTCACAATCGACTGACGTCCTTCGCGCAGCACTTATCTTGCAATTTGATAAAACTTCGGATACCCCTACTCCGAGAATCTCGACCTTAGGGAAGCCCCTCTCGTTCCTTTTGCCATTTGCCTCGTTGTCGGTTCAAGGTATAAAACAAACGACGCCTCGGTGTATCCGAGTTTTGTTCAATGATGTTTACACGCGGTAATTCTCACTATTTGCTGCGCAAGTGCGTCTATATGACGCTACTCGTCGCCGTTTGTGCGACCGAAGGTGAGAAATCGGTCGTTGAATAGCCAGGAAAGTTGACTGGTGATGTGAAGTATTAGTATAAGTTAGAAACCTTTGTTATAAGGGCACATACCCTAAAACGAATGGAAAGTGAAGTGAACTTTTAGAACTTTTAAAAGTGAATATAGTCTGGTCTAGAGTGTTCTCGACGATTTATTTCATTTCGATCTCTTTATTTGTTGTTGTTGTTTTTTTTTTTTTAACTAGCACAATAAAGAGTTCTCCAGAAGGGACCCTGAGATTTTATTTTTTAATCAAATACGAATGGAATTGAAATCATCGAATTTTTTAATTTTAAATGAATCTACACTTGGTCGCATAATGTCGGGTGTTGTACTTCGAAGAATGACAGAAAATAACATGCTTCCTCATTTCATCACTGGTAAAATCGAACGAATGGAACGTGTATGTACAGATATGTAAAGATTCGCTTTCACGGGCCTCTCACATTTTGTCTCATTTTTTGATCTCTCACTCGGCAGCCGACTTCAAATAAAAAATGTGGAGATACCGAGTTGCTTATTCCGAGACGGAAAGCACTTGCTTATTTCGAGACAATACTGTATTATAAGAAACACTCGTAAATGCGAATGTTCTAGTAGAATTTATAGTTCGCTTACTCTTTTTGAAAATCTATAGAATATTGCCGGGCATCAACGAAAATTCTCGCGCTTCACCATCGGCCAATCGACTGAGAAGAGGATACATTGCACTGACGTTATTCCATTTTATTTTTAAAGAGACTTGCAACAGAGGAAAGTGTCCAGGCCCTTTGAGATATTACGAGGAACTGGGCTGCACGCCAGTGTACAAGAATCCTGATGATTGCTGCGCTGAGAAATATGACTGCAGTCATTTGAAGGAATTGTCGAAGGAAAAGTGTTACGCGAACGGTCATGTGTACGAGGTGGACGAGACGTTGAGAGACGAGGATAAAAATGGTTGCGATGTCGGTTGTTTTTGCAGAACTGTTGATAATGGCGTGTAAGTATGAGTATGTTCATCTTCTCATTTTCGAGAAACAGTTAACAATTGAAAGATTGAAATCCAGAAACACTTTCAAGCCTAGGTGACGGAATTCGTCTGCAATTCTTCCTCATACTTCATTACCTTTCTGACCACTAAGAGCGTATACAGGGTGTCCACGCTAAAGTATGACGGACGCATATTTCAATGACTATTCATGATACGAAAAAATTGTTTATGTGTAACTTCCAGGATTAAAATGGTATATTTATTGCGGTGTAAACGAAAATTTGTTTATGTTATTAATTTAAAAAATATGATGGTAAAGTTTCGTTTTTAGATGGAACTATACATTTTTTTTGGGGGGGGGATCATGCGGTAAATTAAAGACGAATTCGTTAAACTTTAATGTATCCATCCGTAATGCATCACATGATTTCAATTTGTGAACAGTGCCACTTTTATTTGCGCGGCAGTGGATTGTGGAATCATAGCACCTAAAGATAATTGTTACAATAAACGTTCGCATGATCGTTGCTGTCCTGGACCATATGTCTGTCGTAAGTAAATTCAATGCAGTAAATTACGCGTATGTATGTAGATTCTCGTCGTCAACCATAATAAACAAATTTCAGTAAAAATTCTGACACAAAATTCAGTACAAAGAGTGTAGCAGGATAAGGACAATTTTCATTTGAAATTACAATGAAAAATTACAATGAAAAATAACAATTTGAAATAACATTTCGGTCTTTTGTTTCTCGCAGCGTTATTTGGAAATAATCAAAGTAATTTTGACAAGAGAATGTTGTTATCATTAACATAACTTATAAATATTTATTAACTTCTAAAAAATTATGATCCGATTATATCAAGCCTGTAAGAAGAACTTTGAAACAATTAATACGTGCAGATGAAATGAACATAATTAATTACATTCTTTAGTTGAGGAAGGACAAAAGAAGCCAACGTGCGAAGTAGACGGCAAAATTTATGAAGACGGTGATTATTTCCAACCAGAATCTGAACCGGAAAAATCATGTTACTGCATGGAAGGATACACAGGTAAGGAACTCGTGTTCTCGAAGAAAAGTCATCCCTAACGCGAACATAAATTATTTTTAAGTCTTTCAAATTCGAAGTTGTACAACTTCTACGACAGCAATATAAATCAAAATTAAGAATTTTTATTTTTTATTTCTTTTGTGGCTGGCATATAATTAATATTTTTCAATTGAACCCTTAAATACTACAATACAATTTGTTTAAAAATAATTCACGAATTATGCAAGATCAGTGAACTTGTTCGAATTTAAAGTCGTATAAACTGTAAAACTATAACATAAAGGATAGTAAGTATTTTGTTACAATTAAATCAATAATAATATTGTTAAACAAAAAAAAAATGAATTTACATACCAAATTCTTAACGTAACATTATTATATGTATATCGTTATGCAATATTATGTATCATAGTATAGTATATTATTTATCATTGCTGAGACAATGGTACTGAGATAAATAATACTTAAAAATTGCACATTTTTGAAAACAGTATTAATATGAGGATTTCTAACATCAATTCCACGTTTAGGTCAGAATATCGAACCTTTCTGCCGGAAGCCAAGGTGTGATCCTCTCTTTCGAAACGCCCCCGATGTTCATGAAAACTGTGCACCCGTCTTTTATAGCGATCAAGTCCCACAAAAAGATTGCAGCATCGCTTCCAGATGTCGTAAGTTCATCATAAACGTTCAATTAAATTTACTGTTCTGTCCTAAAAAGGAGCAACTTGTTTCTGAGTAATATATCCTCTAATATTACATTTCCTTTCAGAAAATGCGAACGACACTGTCATTCACAACCACGATAGTACTAAGTCTGTCTCTGATGCAGGTAGGTTTATCTAACAAACATACAGTTTCACTTATCGTAATAAATATTAATTCTCCTGTGATTTCGTAGTATATTAAACGATTTGATCTCTAAAACTGGAGTTCGTAACAATAATATTAGGTTGTCCAGAAAGTTCATGCCAATTTCTAAGAGAAATTCAAAGGCATATAATAAATATACATGAATTTATTGAATTACATAGGTGCCATTTTATTCCACAACTTTTCCACCTTTTAAAGGATGTATACGTGTTATTTGTTTTCAACCATTTCGACATATTCAGACCTGTACCGCCTACCAAAAATCGACATGGACTTTGCCGGACAACCCAATAAATAATGATATATCAAAATGCCTTGCAAGTTGTCTCTAGAAGAAAAACAAATTCAGTCCATAGAGGGTTAAACGAAACACCCTCTACATTTATGAAAATGGAGTAGCTATTAATCGTTCTGGTGTTTTCAAAATTGCAGAGAACGATATGTGTAAGTTCGGTAATCTGAAGATGCACATTGGCGACGAACTGAACCAAGGGACCGACTATAATTCCATTTGCGTGAGATGCGTATGCGAGACTCCACCTGTTCCCACGTGTCGGCGACTTGCCGATAACGAATGCCAAGGACCAGATGTCCACATTTATATTCCTTGAAAGCCGCAGGAGCTGTGATACGATTGTACGCCTACGATTAGGTCAATTTTATTTGAATATATTCTGTATTTTAGACATCTTCGGAAAATGAATTAGACGCAATTAATTCCATTCTTCTATGAACCAAGGCTTAGGTACCAGATAAATTGTAGTCCTTAATAAAAGTTGTTACTGTGGCATTTAATTAATAGCCTGTTTATTATCCGTCTAAATCTCAAACATTATTTGTCAATGTCCGATGTTTTCATCTGTTTATCGAAACGCCTTTCGTTATCGTTGTTGAAATTCAATTACAAATAACACGATACCTGGTTGTTACTGGATCGGATCACGATTTAGATGTAGTTTGTAGAAAAATCAAAAACTTATCTTCTTATTTTATTATTGTATATTTATTAGGTGAAATTTCGTTAGTTCTAATATTACTATATTACAAAAAATACATACATTAGGGTGGTTCTGAAAATGGTGACTTTCGAATTTCAATGCTCCTAGAGTCTTTGATGCTTCGAAATAACTGAAAACAAACTCTCGGGAAAGGATATAAAAGTAAGAATCGAAACGTTCAAAATTTAATAGATACAAACCATTGCTGCTAACGCTATTTATTTTATTATTAATTAATTATCAGGAGAACGAATAAAACTGATCGCTAGTTTTGGAGACATATTTTCATCTAAACTTGAAAGAATTATGGTGACTCGAAAAACGGTTTTTTTTTTCCTGTATGAAAGTTAGTGAACGTAGCAGAGTAACTTTTCAATAAACGTCAGCAACCAAGTGGTGAAAGATTAGTTGGTTAGCCCTAAGAAGGATAACCTTCAAGGATGGCTCAAGAATGGCAAAGGGAGGATATCGCGACAGAAGTATCCACCCGTGGCAGAGGGTGAAGGTCGACGAAGAGTGAAAAGAATTGGATGCGAGTGCAAGCTCGAGCGAATGTCCTACGACACGTAATAAAAGCAAGCCACGGAGAGAAGTATGCACGATGCAACGCGAAATTTATTTTCACTTTACATAGAGAAATTTCACGAAACCACGGCCCTCGGACAATTTTATCCCGTCTAATGGAAATTCTTAAATCGGCAAAGAATTAAAAGATTCCGCGGCACCAAAATCGTAAAATATTGAGATAATATTCAGGGAAGAAGAATACCGTGCTTAAAATAGAATGTAAAAAACGTTAAAATATTTGACTTAACTAGTCCGGGTATAAACATGCGTTATCCATTAATGCGAAAATTTCAGGGAATTCCTGGGGTTTCACCTCTCCCGAAACCGCAATCCACATGTGCCACATCCAGGAGACACGAGCGTGTCACCACTAACTTGCAACATCTAGTTTATTAGGATTAATTCGTATTGTCGCGCGAGAACGTGAAATACGGTGCTTAAATTAAGAAAACCAGACTCTGATTTCAGGTTCAACGAACCCAGTCGAAGCTAGACAATTCTGGGAATTCTCGATTCTACCATAATTACCTAATTTTGGTGTTGAAACAAATCGTTCAGACTAGCGATACGCGCGAGACGAGATAAATCTCGATCTCGCGTCGATTTCGAGACGCACATTCGAGATCGAAATTACTTCAAGATCATTTCAAATTCTCGTCGAGATCTCGACAAAATGTTTTACTATATTGCCGATCGCCAACACATATGATAAAGTGCAAAAGTGCAAAAGTGCAAAAGTGTAAAGTGAGATTAGATTTAATGTGATGATGTATCAAAAGTTCACGAAAGAATTGATAAATCTTGTTAATTGTTCATAATCTTGCATATTATGTACCACTGCTCGTACTTCGGAAATTAATTCCTACCAATACGACGCGGAAATTAATTTCGACGAGTTAATATTCAACGAGGAGTAACTAAATAACTAATACTCAAATTATTTACGATACATGAGTGGAACCTTAAAAATAAAATTAAAACAACAGATTCGATATTGAAAATTTGGAAACTAGATGACAAAAGGCTGTCGATAACGAGGGCAATTACATAATTGATTAAGAATAGAAATTTATTAAAATATTGCTTGAATTTAATATAAAAGAAACGACCTTAATTTCCAGTCTATCTAAGAGTAATAAACAAAATATGGTCCTACGAATATATTACCCTCTGAACGATTCATCTTTTCCCTTTGACATTGTTCGTTGAATTTATTGATAACGAAGTTATAATTTGTTACACTTACTTGGCCCACCCTGTATATTAACATAGAACCATTAGAAAGTTTGTTGGAAATACTTAGTTAACGCGACATGCTTCGATGCAGATGTAAGTACGAAAGCGAAGGAACTATCCGGATAACTATCCTTCATCTTCACTTTGAGAACGGGACACGGAATTTATGGACCGTAAAAGCTTTATGATATTAATATATGTACTCGTTTAAGGGTACGTCGACATAATCTATCATTCAGCAGAAGCAATATACTTCGCACCTGCCGGCTTATCGAATAAGCCTTGATCTCTTCGAGTTGATCCTATTACCCATTTTATGAGACACGACAAACGTGAGAAATAAGCGGAAGAAAATCAAAATGAATAAAAAATAATTACTGAAACAACTCACTTGACGCAATTCCTTTGAACAAATTCGATATCGTCAATGAAATAAGTTCGATCTATATTTTTTAAACTAAACGTCAGGTGAATTAACTGTAAATGCAACAAGAATTGTTCTTGTCATTCTCTATACGAAGATATTGTGAAAAAAGTCATTTAACGAATTTAAAAATTTCGTCCACTTGCGCGGAACTCCGAACTTTGTTTCGTTACCGAAAAATGAGAAAAACTTCTGGATGGAAAATGAAAAAATGGTGTAAACTTCTACAAAGAAACATAAAAAATCTGAATAGGTTTTTAATAAAGAATTTTCCAAATGGGATTTAAGATTTGGTCTTTTAACCTTTTAACTGCGAAGAATGTGTCCCAGAATTAGTCTGAATAAGAAGTATCGATCAAGTATTGACGAAAATAAGAATTACAAAATACGTTTTGAAATATCAATGTTGTAAATATGTAGTGTATAAAATCAAAAGATTTTCATAATTAATTGATAATTAATACATATAATAAGAATTTAAAGTGACGTGAATTTGCGTCAGCTGTCGCGAATGTGTTAATTAGAACAACGAGAGTAGTGTTTGATTGTTCAGATGTTATTCAACACCTTAATCGAAGGCTACGATGTTCTCAAACATGGAATAAATAAGAAGTAATTTGCGAATAGAAATCAAGTGTACCGATGGCCAACGTCTGCATTATATTTTAATCGAATCGGGTGTAATTTCCGCCATTAAATGGAGGTTGGCAGCCGTTTAATTGGAATTAAACGATCTGTTTCTATTCGGAGAACCTTCTTCTTTTCTCAAGTCGTTAAAAAAGATAAAAAAAAAGTCGAATTCTCTTGAAACAATTTCCGAGCGCGTAATCGTAATTCTTCCACTTTCTAAGCCATTGAACAAAAATTACCTTATCGAACACTTTTCTTGCGCACATTTTTTGCTTCATTGAAACACGAAACGCATCATAAATTCGAAACTCGTAAAGTTTATTTTAAAACGCATTTCGTTGAAATTTCAAAAACTGAACCTCGACAGATATACCCGTGACTTGCTCATGGCAACTTTTTATTTCCATGTGGTTACGTGACCAATCATAATTTATTGTTCTGCCTGCTCGTTGCACGGCTACTGCACAAACAAATACCGATATGTTTGGGAGGAAAAAATATTGTCCCTTTTTTGTACCATTTGCAACGTACGTTACCGTTCGACGGTATTCGATCTCGTATCTGATGCAGCAACAATTTGTTTTTGGAATGAATTGTAAAAATTTGTGCCTCGCTCAGCAATATTATTACATGGTTCACTTTAGGTCCTCTTTGTTTTGACATTCGATCTTCAAACGAAGAATAGGTACCGGCTCGGTGCACGTGTCATAAAATATTTGCAAGACATTCATTGCAACGAAAGTTTCCCTTCCTGTGCGTTAATTCCAATAAAATGGTCGTCGCGATCTCGATCGAATTCAGAATTGAATAGAAGCTTTCAGACAATGGCTGCGACTTCTTCGAGAATAGTTGATCGTTGGAAAAGGTGGAAGAAGGAAAAACAAGAAGAGAAAGAGGAGAAAGTTAAGGGATGAGAGACGGCGCGGCGGACAAAAAGAGGACCGTGCAACTAAGTGCAGCAGGGTTAAAATATAGGTGCGGCCTTTGTACCTTCGACAGCACCCCGAAGATTATTCATTCGACCCTTAATTCATTTATCTCGCGTTACTATATCCCCCTTACTCAAACGATCAACGCCAGACCAGGGTTTTAAATGGCAGCCGCGGCAGTTTTTAATGGCCGTACGGCATTCTTCCTCGAAAAAAAAAGGCAGTTCTGTGTCAACCAGAAGCGTGAATTGAATTTTACTGATAAGGGGAAGCGACTAATTTTTGCGGGAAACCTTGCGCCTTAATTGAGTCTTTTATCGACCAACATAAATCTGTATTAACTAATTATCGCAAAGTTACTGCTAACACCGAAGTAATGTTTCATTGAGGTGGCAAATGGATTCAAATTGGCATCTTTGTGAAATTAATGAAAACAATATAATTCTTAACTAAAACTTTGTATTGACATTATTAAACAAAGTAAATTCGATAAATATTTTTGTATAGAGAAATCCAATTAGAACTCAGTTCTTTCTTCTTTTTTTTTTTTTTAATCGAAGTAATTTTAGTAATGAAGTAACTAAATTTAGGTCTGATACTATCACGGATTATAATTTATATTCCCGATATTAGGTAAAATAAAATGTGAATTAAATAGAAAATACACTGCCACGCAATACTCAGGGGACAGTTTTTCAAAACTTCGTAACTATGGGAGTTTTCAACCGATTTCCGTGAAAAGTACTTCCATACATCAGAGGGTGATGAAATTCACCAAATTTGTTGTCAAAAATCATTGCACGGCACATAATGTGCAATGAAAATTGGGATCGAATGCCTATCCTTATCCTCCTGGACCCTTTGTCTGACAGCGAATGGGTTAATGTGTTGTTTTGTTTCGTCGATTTTCCATTCCTACTAGTCGTTCGAATATCGTATCTTTGTGCTAAGCCTCTTTGCAAATAAAATTACTTTACTGTGCGTGTAAAGATATTTCACGTGCGTGTTTTC